ATGTATATGATTGCCTCAGAGCCTCCGCCCGGCGAACGGCCCGCTTCGGTTCGTGGAGTGGCTTTACGATGGCCGGCATATGATGAGCGAACCAGCGCGGCGTAGTTGCTGACCTAATCCGTGAGGCGCAAACGGGGCGGCTTACACCCGTGTAAATCGGGCTTCTTGCACTGAGCTTGCGTTTGGGGCATTGCACCCATAACCTCTTTCGATGGAAACAGCCACTTTGGCCTGTTCGCAAAACTCCCTGGTTTGTTTGGGATGAAATGTAAGGGCGTATCATTTATCACAGCGATTGGCACTGTTTGGTGCCTCGGAGATGTTCAGTTACATACGGGTGTCGAACGTGTAATGTACGAGCTCGCCCACAATGTGTGTCCTACAGTAACCCCCCTTCCATTGCTGTGGTCAATACGTCCCATTTTGTCTTTTCTTTGGTCTCGTGGCTAAGCTGTTTCGGCTAGAGCGGCACAATTCGCTGAGCTTCCCTGATCATTCAGCTGACATACTGTGGCGTCATGAGTTTGGAGCCCTTATGTTGACCAAAACCGCAGTAAGTATGCCAGTAGGTACAAGTATAACGACGCCATCAAGTAGACATTGGGCTTATTGTCAAAACGTCACGCTTCAAACTGTGCTCATGCGTGCACGGTTAGAAGGTGGTTAGTAGAGTCGCTGTGAGGAGCTGTCATTTGCCTGTTTAGCCAACTGCAATGGACCCGAGTTTTAACAGCTCCATTTATTGCACTGCTAAACGAATGAGCTACCAGCAGTCTTTGCAGTCTAAGCCTGATACAACACAACTGTGGGTTTGTTCACCATTGTTCAAGCCGTATCTTAGATAATTACCAACATCACAGATGATAAAAATAGATATGCAATTTAGATGCTGTCGGTAACCCACTCAATGACTCGTTTAGTACGCGCTTCCGTCATAATTCTTTTTCTCTCGGAAATTTTGCGTTTGTGTGCCTTTTGTGTAGTGGACAAACGCAATTAGGCCATTTTAAGTAAGCATTGTTGCAGAATGTGCTTCTTATAACAACAGCTATGCTGCTGCAAACGCTGTTCACCTACATAGCCATGTGGCTCATGATTTATATCTTACTTGACTGAACCTTAGGTGGCGTGCTCTACCAAAGTGGATCGAGTTAGTTCCTAATCGAGAATGGTGGACCCCTGTCGAGACTGGGTTCTCCGTGCGTCGGTAAGGTCCGACAGATCAGGCGCGTCCGCTTATTTTCGGCATATGAGGTCCGGCCCTAACCCGTCTACGCCTCAGACCACGGCTCATCGGGCCAGCCCGACGCGTGGCGAGCACAGATCGTGACCTTTGACCCCCGAGAGCGTACGGGTGGGCGAATCGAGCTCAGCAGGACGACACGTGACTCACGGCTCTCCGAGGCGCAGTGTCCGGACCCAGTTGGCGCGCGGCCGGCACCGTTCTGTCGCCGCTGCCCGCAACAGCTTCGCAGTAAAGGGGCACTTCTGGGTGCGTGATGTCGTCGTGGTGGGTGTCAACGTTGCCAACGGCGCACTCGATCCGATAGAGAAGCTACCATGCGGAAAATGGAAAAAAGAGTCTCCGCTCCTCCAGGGGTAGGATAGGAGAGAGACAGAAGGGTTAACCTTGGTGCGTTTATGAAATTAAGAGAAAATCGAAGCACGATGGCGATGAATAACCCTAACAGAATCAAATCAAGTCAAATCAAACCCCAATTAAAATCCGATCAAAACCCAAACCCAATCAAAAGATGAAGTAAAAAGCATCACATAGATGTTGTAGCTTAATCGAAAGGAATTGTCCACAGAACTTGTTCACTGTTTATTCCTTGAATTAGGTGGAAGGTTTGCATTCGCTGGAAGCTGCGCAATAAGCCACTGAACTAAGACTTAAGTAACCAAAATAGTTGCACTTTAATTGCTCTGCGGCCACTCTTCATCCCACGTGCACGGTATACTACAACATCCGGCACTAAAACGACGTATGCGTGAGGTGCATCAGGTGGTATCACAGGAGTAATTTTTTTCTGTCATCGCCTGATCCCGATAGAAACTCCCTCTAGCTTAATATCCGGGCGTCGGATAGAAAAGTGAACGGCCATCGACAGCCACCACTACAATATTATTCAGGACTTTCAGTTGTCATTTGTCATTTGAATGACAGCAACACAGTTCAAGCAAATCACTTTAAATGTCACCGGAAGGTTCTGACGACTTCCGGATCCTGCGCTCCCAATCGCCGCACAGTTTGGCAACCAGCACTTAACGAAAGCGCGCGTTTTGCGCCTCAGAATGATACTATATGCTTGAGGAGGCTGAGAATAAGGCCAGGCCAGGTCAAAGTCAGGGAGAGAGTCCCTACCACTATTTTTGACCATCAGTCGAATCGCAGAGGGCAAGAAGCTCACACCACCAGTTGGGCTTAAAATGACTCACAATAAACTCAATAAGTAGAGTGTGTAGAGTGTGTGTGCATGTGCTGGACCTCTGGTTGCAAGGCTCGGTTGAGGGACAGCCCTGGAGGCTCCACTCAGGCTAGGCTTGGTGTTTAGCTGCTGCTGCTCTCAAGGCATATTACTTTGCACCTTCTTGAATCTCCCCCATGAATGTACGTTTTCGAGATAATTGGAGATACGGGGGCATTTTACGTCGATTCATTCCAAAGGGATCTACATGACGCTCATAATGTCAGACAAATTGCGGAAGAAGAGGGAGGGAGAGCCTTTACAGTACTTGGAAGTTTCTAGCCATGGCTCTTCACTAATTTCACATGAAAAATTCGGAGGTCTGTGGGTGGGGGGGGGGGGGGGGGCATCATCTGGATCAGAACTCATGCTCTTTGCTTCACCCTGACTAGCCATGTCATCCTTTCCCACACCCAACGCCTGTGTCACGATCTGTTTGCATCCTACTTCCTGTCCTGTCAATGCTCCATTAACGGTACCATTCATAAATCCAGCAGTCCTTCCCAAGTTTCCAACCTTCTGCCCACTGTCGTTGTTCCTGATTGCCCAAGCGTGCAGAGAATGCTGGTAAATTGTTCAGTGCAGCTGCGTGGAGTATAACACATGCATAAGACATTGTGCTAAAGGCCTTATTTCTCGCCGAATAACTGAGAGAAAAAAAGAGAGTAAGATAATTTAACATTTCAGCTGCATGTCTTTGCCAAACGATTGTAAACAATCAATTCAGAGCAGAATTTACTGCTCACAATCCTTTTTATGAAGGCCTGTAGCCCAAACCTCTATGCATACCCCTTTCCTTTCCTCTGGTCATTCGACGAGAATGAATCTATCAGTACTGTCCGTCCGTCCGTGTGGCTGTGTGTGGATGTGCAATGTCTGTCCCGGTGGCCTGGTTGATTAGAGCGTCTGTCTTCCGCCCCACCCACCCATGGCAGGGTGGGCTCGAGTCGCTTTAGGGCGCTCGCTATCTGCCCTTGACAGGTATGGCCTGCGGCAGGTGGCAGCGGTCGCGCTAAGGGTTAGTTGATGTCAGAGGGCAGGACGGACCATGCCGAGCATTGCGGCACGTTAAGCTTTCGCCACTAAATACTGCCGTTGCCTGGAATTGCGCGATCGGGTGGTGGGGGTCAGGGCTCACACAACAAGCACTACTTAGCGTGGACCCTGATCCCAGAAATTCCTCCATTCAAAGGGTTCGGATCAAATTTAAAGAAAAAAGGTCATGGCTTAGGAATGGCGTCAGCATTAATTCCTGCATGGCCGACAACCACCTTTTCCCCGTCGTCATCCCAGCATGGCTTCTGCTTGCACTCTTCCATATGGTAGGACCACGACTACGCACTTGAAGACCGCAAATGTTAGCGCATGTTAAGCTTAACTGATCGTTTCTGTCTTCCATTCGAAGCAACGATGCGTCCCCGGACTCCATTCGGTTCCAAGAAGACATAGTGGTTGAGAGTCCCACGGTGGAAAACCTTGGCGTGCTCTTCGAAGATAAATATTGTGAGACTATCTGCCATCGTTAAAAGCCCGACAGTGACGTCATCGTCTGGCTCACGGGCCGTATCAGATCCCCATTGGCTCTCCTAGCTGTTCCATAGCGCCTTAATCTCGCACACATTTTCGTTTCTGCTTACCAGTTTTGGCAAATACTTCGAAATCAGCGTGCAACGTCTCCACAGTACTTGTAAAACCTAATGGCTAGGGCTCGAAAAAAGTGATAGAAAGATATCAATATGTTCGTTTACTAGCCTATATCGGCCTGAAAACGCCCCAAACGCAGCTATAGGGATACAAACATCGTGTTGAATGCAATGTAAAAATAAATTGTGTCCGAGGACACCAAATGCCATGTCACTGCCTGTGTACCACTCTCTTTGAAGCCTGAGCATTTGGTGACTTTTAAAGCGTAAGGCGTCATGCTGCTCATGTCCGCCCTTCGCCTTATCATTGCAGATTCACGTTCCTCAAACACCACAGTCATTGTCGCAAATGTCAGCAGCAAGCCTACTTCCGATGCTAGTCAACTCGCTGACGTGCCGACAGTTTGCGCTGACATGCCCGTCCAGCTGACTAACCACTATTTATTTGTTTTCAGTGTTTGCCGCGTGTTGGCGCGCTGCCAAGCGTGTCGTTGACGCCAGGCAGCCGCCTCCCTATAGACATGTGTCTGTTGATCACTATGATCTCATTCACTCGATTGAGACGGTCCGAAAACAAGCGCTGGCTTCGGCCGGCACCGGTCCGGGCGAGGGCACATCCGCCCATAGTCATCATGCCCTGTGATTGAGTCACCGGTGACGACCAGCACTCTGTAGTGCTGCCCTCTCCCGGATTAGTGGCACCAGCGCGCCGGCCGCCAACAATAACAAACCTTGGTATACTACCCAAGATAGGGCCGGCGGCCGGCCGGTGGCACACACCACACCGCAATGCGCCCGCGGCGGCTGACCGGGTCACACGTGTCTGCGTCTCCACCCAGGTGTGATTGGTGAGGCCCTCCACCCGTCCCGTACTGGTGAGCGCCCGCGGCGGCTGACCGGGTCGCACGTGTGTGCGTCTCCACCCAGGTGTGATTAGTGAGGGCCACCCCCTGTCCCACACTGGCGAGCAGGGGTGATTGGCGAGCCCCACCCCCGTCCCGCACTGGTGAGCAGTAGTGACTGGCGAGGCCCATCCAGTCCCGAGCCAGTGTGCAGTGGTGGTTGGCGAGGCCCACCCCCGTCCCACACTGGTGAGCAGGGGTGATTGGCGTCCGTCCCGCACTGGTGAGGAGTAGTGACTGGCGAGGCCCATCCAGTCCCGAGCCAGTGTGCAGTGGTGATTGGCGAGGCCTACCCCCGTCCCACACTGGTAAGCAGTGGTGATTGATGAGGCCCACCCCTGTGCCGCACTGGTGAGCAGTGTTGATTGGCGAGGCTCACCCCCGTCCCGAGCTGGTGTGCAGTGGTGATGGTCTATAAGTCGCGTCAGCCACAGGCAGCGCCTCAGGTATCGGAAGGGCGTGGGCGTGTGTGACGATGACTGGAGCCGTCACCTCCCGTCGCCCGGCGGAGAGCGTCCTCGAGTCACTCCAGCGCTATGACTGTTCGTTACGCGAGCTGTTCTCCCGCCCCGCAGATCTCTCGGATCGCGGCGGACCGCCTGACCTCGCTCGCCACCGCTGCACGCGCGGCACGACACCACTGTTGCCACCTGTGCCTGCCGCTCGACCATGGAGCTGCGCCTGACGCTGCTGCTCTGCTTGCTGCACCTGGGCTCGACCGCCGACCTCTCTGGTGAGCCCTGCAGCCGGGTGACGTCACAGGCTGTGTCGTAGCTCTGGCAGCGTGCGTGACCTACTGACCTGGGGCCACGCAGAACCGTGTCAAACCGTCTGGCCAGCTGACTCTGACTAACCGGCGACAGAGGTCAGAACCGGAGGCGTAACGAAATACACAGCATATATATATATATATATATATATATATATATATATATATACAACATAATGCCACCAGTCGCTGTTAAGGCAAACGCTTTAAAAGGAGGCCCCAAGAGGCGTCCAATCTGTTTCCGAGCGTTATGACGCGGACGGGGAAGTGAATTCGCGTAAGGTGACAACATTTGTCGTAGCGGGTGTAACCACGTCTCTGAGACTGTGCAGAAAATTCAGGATGGGGGCGCTGCTGAAATCTATTGCTAGAATCTGGACAGTAAAGCGTGACATGAAAATGGCCTTTTAAGTGATAAAACGTGAAGATGAGTACAGGTGACACCATCCCATTATTGAAACATTCATCAAACATGAGCCGGGGGAACATGTCCCCTAGGCTCCCCTAGTGGCTTCACTGATAGCTATCCATTGTCAAAGTTTACCGCGCCGAATGAACACAGACATGAACATTATCACCATGCTGTGAGCTTCGGTGAAATCCATGTCCGGTGTATTCCGCCTCGGTGCGATCTCGAAATGCACTGGAGCCATTTTTACGGCCGCGGTGTAAAGTGGAAACTTTCAGTCAGAACTACAATTCCAGTTTTACCACCCTGTCGAAAAGCGCTGATGGCGCCCTCATACGAACAAAAATTGTGGCAAATTGTTCCTTGCCCTCTCTGCTTCATCTGAATAAAACACTGCAATAGCATGTGCTGTTTTGCTTTCCGATGTCACAACTAAGTTAGGTCAAGTTTATCATATATATATATATATATATATATATATATATATATATATATATATATAAGCAATGCACACCCCAACGCTGGGATTTGCCCACGCTGCAGTTGGGTACGAGACGGTATATAACGCTCATAAGCGATTTGGCGCGGTCCACGGCGTGGGCGCCGCACACGCCGCAAGGTCGGGTTTGAGGTCCATAGAACTATCATTGATTGAATATGTAAGTGAGCCAACCCAATCAGTGGTCATGTCTCTGAAAAGGAACGCATTCGCTGTGTAGCTCTAGCGACAACGAATTTACGGCCCTGAGTGCAGGCAGATGCTCATCAACGCCTAATATAAGCATCGCAGCAGGGATTAGTGACAACAGCAAATAAACAGACGGCAAGAATTGACAACGACAAATACCTAAAGCGAAGTCTGGTCATAACAGTTTTCTTGAAGCTACAGGAGGGCGTCACAAAGTTCTCACTGCGGCGGACATTCTGAACGTGTCAATGGAAAGCTGGGCATTCGCTGAAGTCGGCTCAGTAAGCAGTGGTGACGTTCATCGGCTGGGTAAGCCCACGTCTAGCCAAACACAGTGGCGTAGGGGTGGGGCTGTGGATAGGGTAGGCCTGCTCCTGTCATTAAATTTTGCATGCATTGATATGCATAGCATTTAATGCGTGCAGTTTAAAAACGAGACTGACTCATAGACACAAGTAGATTGAAAACACGTGGCGCTGGTATGCACTATGTAAACAATTTCGCGTGCCTACGGCCTGCAAAAACGTCTTTGCAGTACAATTTTTCAGTTGTTTTCTCCCATCCTGAAATTTGGCCTGCGTCTGTACACATATCGAAATGAGAACGTTTGGCTGCATAGCTTGGGAATGGAGGTGGTGTGGATCGAGTGATAGGTAGAACGCTCAGGAAAAGCCAGGTATATGCTTAAAGAAATGCTACACGATGTCATTGCTTGCTCTCCTTCTGGTCATAATAAGTGCCGTTTGCATGGTTTTTCGATCTATGAACACAGAAAGATTATGCATGGGTGTAGTCTTTTGATGCCTTTTCCACGATTTTATGAGAGCTATTTTCTTTCGTTTCAAGCACAAATGGTACGTTGTAAAGAAACGGTGCGATGTTACCTTTCACACACTGGACACGGCAACAGGATGAACTAGAACATTTATTGTGCAAGGCGTTAAAATGCAGCTAGAAAAGCTTGATACCATGGTTCCCCTTCTAATATATATATGCGGCTGTGGCAGCATCCAAGAACAGTGAACGATGTGAGTCCACGAGCGAAAAACTCACAGATGCTGCTGCGCTGCTTACAAAGTGCACATACCGCCACCCCTTCCCCATTCCTTTCAGTACGCGGGACCACCCTGACTCGAGTTTTTGACATGTACATTCGGCTACATAGCTTTTCAACTGGGTGGGATGCCACGTGAGAACTTTGCTACAAATAAATACTGACTGAAGTCACCCAAATGGCAATGTTAGCGATCGTCTTCCTAATAATTTACATTTGATTCACCTTGTCTCTCGTTGAACCCACCTCCGCGTTATTGATGCGTTTAACATAAAAAACGGTCGGTGGTGGCCCACCAGATATGAAATGAGCAAAGAACAGCGCTTTCCTCACCAACATAAACGTGGATCCAACGGTGTCACCCTCCTTGCATATCCTCTGCATACCTCTGCGAGTCAGTAGAAATCTAAAGTTGTTGACGGTCGCGTAAACGGTTATTTATGATACAGTTGCTTTCACGAAGGTCGTTACTTAAACATCAGCTCTACGTCTCAGTATTAAATCCACCAATGCATGTCTGTTAAAAGGTCGCCATTTGTCCTGATGCGCCTCCCACATTTGGCGCCTGCCGTGGATCATGTGATGAACCAGCATTTTGTCAAGGTATTTCAGGTAGATAGTTGAATGCTGCTAAGCTTTAGCGCTCTCAAGATGGAACGTTGACCATAAGAGATTAAAAACCGGAAGTGTCCAGTCTACTCTGCTAATATGGTTCGAACACAACTGAAAATAGCGTTGAGTGTTTCGGACAAGCCGTCAAAAGTATGCAGGGATGTAACAGGGTGTACGTTTGCACAGCCTTAACGTGGTGTCAAAAAGAATGTCGTTACAGATGTTGCCACGTGCCAGCGGTGGTCTTGTAACAGCTGACCGGTGGAACGTACATACGGACATTTTGTTTTTAGAAGGATAGGGAATGTGCGATGGTGACATTCTAAGATTGAAAATTCATGTCTGTATTGAAAAGATGAAAACGGGGCAATAGCAAATATGATCAAAACGTGGTTTTCAGTGTTTACATATCAAAGAAGATGGTGCCTTGTTTCTTTCCAGGAAACCTGAATGGAACCCAAGAATTTGGCTTAGACGGATACCAGCATTCTTATCGGGGTGGTAAAAAGAATAGGTAGCGGGAAAATATGATGGAAAATAGGGATGTGATGTGCTCAGTAGAATAAAAAATATATATCTTAAATGCTTCCGGTCATGTCAGGATGACAAGTACTGTGATGGCCTGCAAGGTAGCAGTTGAATCCTAAGCAGCTGAATCCCATCCACCCTGGTTTGTTTGGCCGCTGGGTCGCTGGGCATGCACCGCTTTAAGCTGAGGCCACTGCAGCGTACCTCAGAACGTGCGAGCCTGAGATAACACCAGCGAAGGACGCGGCTGGGCTGATCGAAGCTGCAGGCCTCACGGCGAGCGCGGCGTCGGCCGACGGCTGTTCTGACGCGCTGCGCTGTTGTTGCTATCAGGGTGCACTGATCATGCTGCAGTCTTGGCCTTGGTGAGAGAGAATTCAACACGAGGTCGCGTTCCCGAGTCACCATCCGCGTTGTATATCTGAACCTTGCTGTTCCAGTTTTTTCCTTTGCTTCGGCCTAAAATTTGCACAGACGAAAACCGTCTTTATCCTGCTGGGAGCAAGGCAGCACTATATGCAAACGTCTGTAGTAAGAGCACCCGATAAGTAATCTCCAACTATAAACCTTGCGAAGTGTCAAACTGCGTGCACGATGACGAATTCACTCGCAGCACCCTGTCAGCCCGGGTAAAAATCAGTGTATCTGAGCATTGACTGCGTTGCCGCGTTTACGGCTCTTCTCGGCTACAGCAATGGCAGCCACCGCATACTGTGGCTGGTGACATCTTTATCCCGTGATACTGGAGCTTCACTCGTGAGACTAGTGGCAATGCTGCTCCTAGTATGCGCGTGGTGACAATGGGCCTGGCTGATAATGAGCACGTCTGGCATTCTTGAAACAAAGTAGACCAACGTTGCGCAACTTATCTAATGCATATTGTTCCTTTCAAACTTCCGTGGTGTATTCATTGCGGTTCTTTACTGCTTTATTCACTGCATGCAGGCTATCTGTCAAGAAGGTTGCTCGCCACGTGTCTCCAAATCGAAAGTTTGAGGAAATGAGACGAGACGGCAACGTAAGCGTGTAATGAAAGCCAGAACACCTGGCGACTTTCCCGAACTGTATGCTGGTTTGGGCACTTAGCTTTGTAATGGGCTGGGCTATGGAAAAAAAACTTTGGCTTACTTTTGTTCCAAGGGTGTTGCGTCTTGACTCCAAAAACGTGCATCTGCTCGCCAGCTTCAAGACAAGTATCGAGTCGACCTGACTGACCTGACCTGACCTGATTGTCGAGTCGACCTGACGGATACCACCAGTCGATCTGAAATCTTTGTCGCATTTGGGAATGCGACAAAGAGTTCAAATCGAATGGGAATGTCTGGTGCCAAACTGAAAAGGTGGTTCTTTGCATACAGCACTTATGGTGGTTCTAGCAACTGCGCAGGCAAATGGTGTGTGCCCTGCATTTGCCCGCCGTCTCCGCCTTATTCCACGAGGCGTCTCACGCGACCCGCCCGTCAAGCCGAGGCTGCCATCCAGCCCTGCAAAAGCGCACGTCCCGTAACTTGATGCTCGCAGCAACCTTTCTAAACACGGAGTGCATGACTGTTTATTTTTGATGCGTCAATGCCGGGCAAAGTGGTGGAAACTTTTGATGCCTCACAGATCAGGCCAAATATGTTGCGAATAAGCGATTCATATGTTCATAGCATTCAGATCTTGATCCTGCGATCCAAAGGTCACTTTGTTGACTCTGCGCCTATCTGAGAAAACAACATCTACCAGTCACTTTGCATCATACATGTGGGATTGTTTCGACAAGCACCCGTCAAAGCACGATATGCACGGCTGAAAACGGAAAACCCGTTGATTCACGAAAGCCTTGCTGGAATTAGCTTTCAGATGGCTGCGCGAGATCTCTGTAGCCGAAGGAGTGGCAAATGAATGGTAGCCCGAGGGAGTGGTAACTTAAGTTTGTGGAAGCTGTCACGAGGTCGCTTGTGCTGTTCTTGTCAATATGAATGAGTTATGTGTGGTCTAAATTCTGGAAAAAACACACCTAATTTTGGCACAGTTATTTCTGTGCACGCTACGAAGAGTCCAGCACCGTCATCTAGCCGTGTGGCGACGCGGCCTTTCATCTCCCAACGCCTTATCTTCGCCGAACCTTTTTGTGTACAAGTTATTTGACGTTATATGACCTCACGTGCATCGCTAAATTGATACCAAACAGGCTCTATGGCGCATTTTCTCCAAATAAACCTTTAATAGCACAATAAACTTGAAATTGCGAACCATTTAGTCACACACATGTCAAGTAAGTTAAGACCGATTGCGACCTCCGGTGACCTTATTGATCCCAAATACAAGCCAAGGTGTATTTTGAATTCTTCTCAACGCAGTATTCTAATGCTTGTATTTGTTGATCATGACCCCATAGTTATCATAAAGTGTCAACAGAATAGAAAAAATCGTCATAGCACTGCATTTCATCAAGATGATCCAAGCGTTTTGAATACGTAAACGACTGAACTGGCTCCGCGCCTCCCACACCGTCCGTACTGTGATAGACAGTAGCTGCAGCTGCACAAGATAATCTTTTACAAACGATAATAAATTACAAGGACATGAGGACGATGTACGAAAGTTGGTTACGGAGGCAAAGTCCCTTCTCCGCCCCCCCCCCCCCCATGGGCGATTTGCCGCGCATAAAGGTGAACTGGGTTTGGGTCGGGTGGGGTGGACTGCACCCACGGAATTTCGATTTAAGCAGCCTTCATGCAACAAACAGGCGCGACTTACTCATATTTTGTCCGTCAACATGGTGTAAATATGGTACGGAAGTGCTGCGTGGGATCATTTGGTGACGTCACAATATGGCATGTGACGTCACATGCCATATTCAAGTCAATATGACGCACATGCACTGTATGTGTACTGAAAGTGGATACTAACTTTTTCTCGCAGCAAGCAACGGAGCAACGGCATTGCTCCTGACAGCACATTTTCTCTGTTTAGTAAATGTGCTCCTCAATACGTCATTGTTTGAGTACGTCATAGTATCTTTCACAACATCGATTGAGGGCCAATCGACGGCCGTTATAACTGGAAATCGTGCTCAAGAACGCCAGATATGAACTCATTACATTTTTTTCAGTTATCAGATAACTATTGGCCCTAATCGTCGCATGGCCAATGACATGGTAGACGTAGTCTCTCCGAAAAAGTATGCACATCTTCGCGAGCGTATAAGTCAGAAACTGGAAGGGTTTTTGTATTAAGTCAAGCAGAGCTCTGAAATACATTGAATGATCATCAAGATGGCTATTTGAGTTTAACACGTTTTACAAATGAGGAACACCTCCTTTAAGTTGTCTGCAACATCCCTCGATTCACTCACTGGCCTTCAAAAATAACACCAAAGTGGAATAACTGATGCCAGTTCTTATGTCTGTGTGCTTGTGTTTGCGGTAAATGTAAAAATGCTGTTTTTAGCTGGCGCATTATATCGACAGACTATTTCACACTCACACCCCCCCCCCCACCCCCCCCCCCCCCCCCCCACGTCCGCTCGGCCCTGACATTGGCTGTGTGGGAACGTGGGAAACTTGCCCTATTACAACTTGTTGGACTGTATGAAGATCCGCTTGACATAGTGAAGGCATATAGAGGAAGGGGTAGTCATCAGCAGCTGATAATTCCGTGGCCCAATCGCTCAAACGTTAGGGTGAAGAGTGTTCATGAAGCACCGTCCTCTGTTCAGCGTACACTGACGAAAACCAACGGCAAACAATTAGTTGTGAATGTTTTCCAATAGTCATGTCTTGCCTTTTGCTTGCAAACATCTCGCGGGCTATGCGAGCTGTTTGTGGCTTGCGACTGACCTGTTGTGACCACCAGGGGACGGTGACTGACCTGTTGTGACCACCAGGGGGTGGTGACTGACCTGTTGTGACCACCAGGGGGTGGTGACTGACCTGTTGTGACCACCAGAGGCGGCAACTGACCTGTTGTGACCGCCAGGGGGCGGGCGGTGACTGACCTGTTGTGACCACCAGGGGGCGGTGACTGACCTGTTGTGACCACCAGGGGCGGTGACTGGCCTGTTGTGACCACCAGGGACGGTGACTGACCTGTTGTGACCACCAGGAGACGGTGACTGACCTGTTGTGACCGCCGGGGCGGTGACTGACCTGTTGTGACCACTAGGGGCAGTAACTGACCTGTTGTGACCGCCAGGGGGCGGTGACTGACCTGACTGACTGACCGGGCTGTGTGGGAACGTGGGAAACTTGCACTGTTGAGGCTTGTTGGATTGCATGAGGACCCGCTTGACATAGCGAAGGCATACAGAGGGAGGGATAGTCATCAGCAGCTGATAATTCTGTGGCCCTATCGCTTGAACGTTAGGGTGAAGAGTGTTCATGAAGCGCCGCCCTCCTTTCAACGTACGCTGACGAAAACCAACGGCAAACAATTAGTTGTGAATGCTTTCCAATAGTCATGTCTTGCCTTTTGCTTGCAAACATCTCGCGGGCTATGAGAGCCGTTTGTGGCTTGCGACTGGCCTGTTGTGACCACCAGGGGACGGTGACTGACCTGTTGTGACCACCAGGGGCGGTGACTGACCTGTTGTGGCCACCAGGGGCGGTGACTGACCTGTTGTGACCACCAGGGGACGGTGACTGACCTGTTGTGACCACCAGGGGCGGTGACTGACCTGTTATGGCCACCAGGGGACGGTGACTGACCTGTTGTGGCTACCAGGGGCGGTGACTGACCTGTTGTGACCGACAGGGGGCGGTGACTGACCTGTTGTGACCGCCAGGGGGCGGTGACCTGCACAATGTGCAGTCTGACCAGCCGCGGCCTGGCAGGGCCGACGCCATGTGCCAGTTTAATGAGAAGGAGCTGCACACGACGGTACGCTCCGCCGCCGTGGCAGCGCTCCAGGGAGTCTGCAATCCAGGTAAGAGCCGCGCTCCACGCTAGGCACGCCGCAGCGGTACTGGTACTGTACGCTCTGTAAGTGTTGTGCTGTAGTTATGTGCGCCCCGTAATATATTCAAGTCCCACACCAGCTGCCGCGACATTCTCGTTTTCTCTCTCACCCCTGTTGGGCACAATCGTGTACTCTTTTAGATGCCTCGCCGCGTCGGAGATTTACTGCGACTAGTGTTGGGCAGAGACCGACTCCAGCCAGCCCGTCTCCAGTCCAGCACGAGTTTTCGTGGAACTTTGATATTAATACCCTGGTTTACCTACGATGTATCGCAAGATCCGGGCCGTGTTTAAATCGCTGGCCGCTGACTTATCACCTTCTCATGAACGCCTGACTGTTCCACTGTCCAACCGTCCATTGTTTTCTAGTTATCCTTATACACCAAAATGATCCCTTCGAACGAAGTGAACTTAAAACCTGGCATCTGTATTTTGCCTGTACTCAAAATTAAAACAAACATAAATGACAAAAATGCCATATCCACTTGACATTGAGATAAAACGCGATTTAAAGTCGGCCTTCTCGTTCACACAGAAGAAGCAAGCTTTGAATTGCTTTGTCATTTCAATTACTTAAACTAATAGTTTGCAGAGTTGTTTTTTCTAATCAAACTCCTTGCCAAGCGTAGCTTGTTGTGAAGGCCCTGACCCCAAAACCCGAGCGGACTATGTCACTTCAACGAGTCGTGTTTGCTGAAAGGTCGCAATACGTCCGCACACAGCGCCGTAGCACGGCCATCCCCGTTTCCGCCAGGCTCTGTAAAGGTCAGCTGCCAATAGGCTGGTAGTGACGAGTTACAGCACCGCTCGGGACGTAGTCTCACACACCTGACGCACCAACATCAATGTCAGCGTGCTCCTCCATGTGTGCTGCAGAGACGACTGACGGTGCATTGGTAGTTGTGGTCAAATGCAGCAAATCAGGGCAAAATTGGTGTAAGTTGGGGTAGCGCAATACCCATACACCATTAATTTAATTTAATATAAGTTACAGGTCGCTGGAACGGAATAACATATAAAAGGCTACGCTAGGCAGCTAAAGCTAAACGTTGAATTCTCAAGCTTTGCAGATATATAGGTCTAGCTTTGCCTAGCGATGGTGGTCTTTTAAGAATTATTTTTGCTTGTTTTGGTAGTGAGCATCACTGTGTTTTAAAAGACATCGATCTATGTGAAGCCCTACAATGTTGCAAAGAATGTGTATAAAAGGCACAGCTTTGCACGGTCCATATAAAACGTATATTTATATTGTCAAATATGACGTCCTGAAGTGACGTATAACATCCAATAACAAGAGCCGGCTACGTATTATTCAAAAAGGTGGCTTTATCTGAGGATGCATCTTTATTTCCACTTTGCCCATGATGCATGGATCACTGCATTCCTAAATGCATGCATTCATCGATACATCTACGAATGCATGTTGCCGCTCACCAAAATGAGCGCTCACCAAATTGTCATTGCTAGCCATGATCTTGCACTTAGAATACACACTCAAGCTGCAAGTAATACAATGATCGGTACGCAACAGAGCCCATGAATCTGTTAAAAAGAGGGACATAGCGCCTGATGGCGAAATGTGCTTTGTGAAGAAGCCTGGCGGTCAAACACGAATATTCTGTTTCATTCGGAAATACGGTGGAAACATAGCTCAATCCAATCTCAGTGAGGAGCAAAAAATGCAGCGTGCTTACACACTCTCATGCCGTCCAGTTCGCCTAGCTCCTTTGCAATAACTCACGCTGGCCGATTCTGCAGTGGAGATGGAGGCCCGTCTGATGGCCATCGAGCAGCGGCTGGGCGACCGGCTGGAGCAGATGAAGGAGACGCTCACGCGTCTGCTGCTGGACCACGTCGTCTACGACTACGACGAGGAGGAAGATTCGTCCGCCACCGAGCGGCACCGCTACTCCGGCGGCGGCGACTCCAGCGGCGACTCCGACCAGGCCCAGCTGACGCACTACGCCGGCTTCCGGGCGGGAGGCCGTGGAGTGGCCGCCACCGGCCAGCGCACCTCCTACAAGAGGTACGGCGCCCGGTCGTCATCGCAGGCCGCCGGCGTGCGCTCGGCCTCGTCCCAGAGCGGTCGCTCGCGCTCCTCCTCCCAGACCAGGAGTGCGGCAACCTCGGCCGCTGAACGGCAGACGTCCGACGGTGGCGCCGCCTATAACGGCCAGCGGCAGACCCTGAAGCGGGAGGGCGGCGGCGGCACGTACCGGTACGGCCAGGCTCGGCGCTACGGTGGAGCCGACTCCAAACGCTACGGCGGTGGCGGATCAGCGGCGCAGGGCGACAGCTTTCAATACGAGGCGTACAACGCGTCCGAGTCGGCGCCCAGCTCTGGCACCCGCCAGATCAGCTCCGCGTCGGCGGCGTCTCACAGCGGCCGCGGCAATGTGGTGCGCTACCAGACGTCCTACACGCCGACTGGGGTCAGTGGTGCGCTGGACCAGCGGTGTTCTCGCTGGTCCAGGGCTGCTCTTGATAACCACATCCGTCGTGGTCTCTGTAAGGGCTCATACGGTGTGCAAATGAATTAAAACGTTTGCAGAAAGGTATAGAAGCGCAAAATTGGCATCCGAGTCTCTAACTGAAGGTTAATCATTGTTCATGGGCCGATAAGAACGCACCAGAACATACGGAGGTTAGGCACATGTATGTCTGAGATAACGGGAACTACAAGCAAGCTGGCTCGGATAACGTGGAATGCCTCCAACCTGTCACTATCCTGGGTTTCAGCCTATCGACGCTTACGCTGCATTCAACGCCCAAGACAGGCGTGCGTCCAGGTCGAACGTGGGCAGACTGCGTGGTCGGCGTCAGCATGCCAAGCGCAGGGGTCAGCGAGTGACCGACACTGTCAGTCACGTCTCCGGCTCGGAGAGCGCGCTGCGCTCGCGTTTCTGGGAAATCAACACCTACAACGATACAGTCTACGAACTCAACGGGAAGCGAATGTATTCCTACTATTGGGAAGTAAAGGTGAGAGCACGGGTCATCACAGGCCTTGTGTGCGCGCAATAAACTGAAGTCTAGTGTTTCAGGTGAGTAATTCTGAAAATATTCCAATGGATCTCGCATGTCTGTCGACGATATATCACTTGCATTGTGATTCATCATTCATCTGCCGTCCCTCCACATTCTCGCTTTATCGTACATCCTCGCGCGTCCCGTTCATCCAACGCAAGCTACATACACCAGCCATGAATGGGCCAAGTGCCTCCTGGTAAGGAATCCATTTGAGCGCCGGGCGCATATCCCGTATCGAGGCCACTGGGCGGGATAAGTCTCGTTGAATGGACTCCCAGAAACATGCAGTTTTGCCCAGTCATCCACTCTCCCTTATCCTATAGCTCTGGAATGTTTAAAACTACCGGACAGGGCTCCAAACCAAACAAATGAAAAGCAAAAACTCCTGCCACTGCTCAAGCTGTAAGATCCTGGATCATGACACACCGCGCCGCCCGCATGGATTCGCTGCCTGAGCCGAGCTTCTGGCAGGGCGTGACCCGGGGCGGTGACGACTCTCAGTCCCGCGGCAGAGCGGCCGCAGCGTCCCTCTCTGTCCCAAGTGCTTATCTGCTACACGGCCTGGGAGAGGGGGGGGGGGGGGCGGCGCACGACATCTCCAGTCCGCTACACCTCATCAGTTTGCGGCACACCCTAAAAGAGTTGGGCCCACTGAGAGCTATTTCGTTTTGAGTTTTTTTTTAATGGGCGGCTTTCTCCAATGAAAATATTTTTATACCGCAGCAAGCGCCTAACACTGAAAATATTGCGGCTGCATTTCCTCCCGCGGTGCTATTGCCTGACCTGAAAATGGCTTTTGGACGTAACCACGGAGAACTGACGGCAAATAACCGATTGGTTCTCTTGGTGATACGTGCTCCAGCAGCGTAGCTACCCGTTTGATTTACTGTTGTAGCCGCTGCTCGTCACCAGTATCGACATGCGAACCCCAAGAGATATATTCATAGTTAATGAACCAAGCCCGCATTCATTAGACACAGTTATATACATTCTACTGTAGTGATTTGTCTCCCGTGGTCACATTTTTACTGAAGGTGCTGGTCCGTCATTTTAGAATTTCAGTTTTCTGTGTGAACCGAAAAGTTAGTTTTTAGTCCATAAATGGTCACGTACCCGAAATCAGCCTGTACGACGTGGTTTGTTTTAGTGCTTGACCTTCTATCCTACCTTACGGATTTAACTCAAACTTCCCTTAAGCTATCGCTCCCCCGCCTGTGTCATTCCTGCTCAAGTCATTATATTTTCCTGAACTGCGTCAAGTTATAAAATTGACCTAAAATGGAGCCGCCCAGCAAACTGTGTCCCAAAATGTTTGCTTCGTTTGTCAACCCATGTTCACCAACAACTATAAAAATATGATAAAAAATGATAGCGAACAATAACACCAATAGCTGCGCACTTCATCACTACTAATTCCGGGAATCTCAGAGATAGCCGTCTGTCAGCATAACATTCTATTCAGACTGGTGTTCTGTTTTTGTGCGCGGCAGACGCGTGCACGTAGCCGCCGGTCACGAACTCACATTGGCCACTCACATTTCTCTACACCATTCTTTTGTGCTGTTAAAATCTCTGTGAATGGTCTATAATGATTTGCTCACACGGGCGTTTTTTACACGTGTCTAAAACACCTCAAAATCAGGTGACCGCAAGAGAAGAAGCGTGGCATATGGTGCGTGCCCGTGGGCACTCAAATTGTGGGATCGATGATGGCATGCTCGTTGTAGTGCCAGTCATTTTTCAGGTCCAAATTTTGGCATAATTGTGCTTAAATATGTAATTACACAAGAAAGCTTCAATCTACTGATGGTTTACAAACATGACAAAACTAACGTGCGTACCAGGCACTCGAATATAAAACTAACAGGCGTGCTATGCACTCGAATATAAAACTGACATGCGTGCTAGGCACTCGAACATAAAACTAACATGCGCGCTAGGCACTCGAACATGGAATCAAAATTTGTGGGGTCATTTTCTTGAAAATAATACCCAACGTGACCATGCGGGAAACAAAAAAGAAACTATGTCATGTGTGCAGCGGCGATAACAATTGAAAGCATGTTGCATTTAGAAAAAAATATGATGAAGGCAGATGTTTGGTTTATGGCCTGCGGCTTTACACACGCGTTCAACGCGCGTCAAAAGTCCGTTTGAACACCTCATTGCTGGCCACTCACCACACGCTTTTAGTCCTAAGCTGACATTTAGCCTCGCCAGTGTGGTGGTGAATTTCATGTGCTCTTAATAATGCCAGTCGGTCCACTCGGGTTGCAGAGCTGTTCTGCCGCCCAGCCGAACCAGATGGCTTGGGACCACCATGAGCGCTCGGTTTCGTCAAAAAATCACGCCAGTCGTCAGATATACACCAGACCGAACTGTTCATACCTGAACACCCATGTGTCTGTTCCAGGGTATGCCGCTTGCGAACGGCCATGACGCAGCATGTCACCATTTTGCCGCAGGACTTCCCGACGATGATGGCGACCTGGGAGGACCGACACTCGCTGCGGAGTCCCAGCTTCTACATCTACCAGGGCGGCTACCGCATGTACATCAGGGTGTTCCCCAGCCGGCAAGGAGGCAACGTGTACCTCCACACCGGACTCACTCCAGGAAGGTGAGACGTGACGTCAAGCGCTCCGTGGAGGAATAGTTGTGAGGCGGCCCACAGATGTCACATGCGGTACGTCATACAGCCTGATCGCTGAGCTTGTCGCCACACATCGCGTTCCCCGGGAAGGGCTGCCATCCCGGCCGCGGTCTGCTGACTGCTGACCGACACCGCTCCGCCGCTTCGCCAGGTACGACGAGCAGCTGTCGTGGCCGTTCCGCCTGCGCCTGCGGCTGTCGCTGCTGGACCACTCGGCGCTGGCGCACGACATCCGCAGCCGCGTCTGGAACCCGCGCGAGCTCTGCAGCGGCTGGAACTGGCGCCGGCCCAAGGGCAAGGACAACTACGAGTGCGTGGGTCTCGGCTTCCCGCAGCAGCTGCTCTCCACGAGGCGCTTCGTGCTGGACGGCAGCGTGCTCCTCAAGCTGGACGTCTTCCTGGAGGAGTAGTCAGGCCGCGTGCGGCCAGCGCGCGTGCAGACGAGCGGCCAGTCGCGTGACAAAGAGGCGATACGAGCGTTTTGGGGGAGGCTCGCAGATTGGGAGCCGGTCTGGGATGCTGCGCATCATGGCTGGCTGGCGTAGCGAAAACCGGCCGCAGGAAAGTATGTGCCGTCTTGCATTTGGAAAACAATCCGTTGCCGTGAAATGCAGACGAACCAGATGAATGGTATTCATCCAACTGAACTTTCTGTTAAAATCTGAGAGATTGTGGTAGGATGGCACTGGGGTGCATGTGCTTTGGAGAATAACGGAAGCTACATTTGCGAGTAAGGGCTTAGAGAGAGCATGCTTTCTGCAAGATTATAATTACCGTGTCTGGTGAGTGTATCGATCAACGATATGAAGGATGTAGTGTAACTCCTATCGTAACAAAATATCGCTAATATTAGGTATAGATGCCGCAATGCCATTCTTAAAAAAAGCATCGAGTTTAGCATATGGTCGTCATTTACTTTCTGATTTGCGAGGTGATGTCCTCCGTAATTTATATTCATGCCCTATTGTCGTATGCATATTTGTGTAATAAGCGACTGTGCAGCACACATGCAATCACGCATTGTGCAACATCCTTTCACAATATAGCTCAGAGGTCTCTTGAGCCATCATTCATTTGAACTGTATGCATGTTCTAGTTTAGAGTTGTGTTGGCTTCTAATATATTTATGACACAAGTGTCTTCTCTTTGAGATGGGTACGTTACAAGTCGAAAATATAATCGAAGTTGATGACGAACGACAACTAAGTGGAATATGTGGTCAAATGTGGTATGCATGATTTGGCGTTCTTCTCCCTCTAAGAACTGGCATTCGTTAATATTTGTGGGACGCCTGATGTATACGATCAAGCATTGTCGGAAAATTATTGATAGAAAATCATCTCGAAATATCCGCATAGTAATATAGTAAAAACCTGTTCTTTTTCCGAGACACGCCTAGGCTTGTATCTGAGATACGGCAGGTCAACTGCTGTAAACCGTCAGAGATTTAGCCGGCCGATTGCATTATCCAAAGTCAGGTGCTCATGCACGGCAGTATCTCCGATCAAGTTCCGCTGAGTCGACAGCAAATGGTAACAAGATCAAGCTTACCGGCTTGTGTTTATTGACGGCTGTTCCGACCGCTTTTTCGTTTGTATTTTTCTCTGCTTTTTAGACTGAAAAGCTTAATTTGTTTTATCGCTGTTCACACTAAAGCCCATCTATTGCCATCAACTTCATAATTTCATGCCCCGTCAGACCATACCCTGGAATGTGCCTGAGAATCTTTAACCAGTTTAGTTCGTGTCAATACATAAAATTTCATTAAGGACTTCCGCAACTCCTCACAAAAGCGGCATCAAACTATCTTAAAGTTTTCGTTTGTGGCTTTCATGCATCATTATCGTCGGCATTTTTTCTTTTGCAAGCACTGTTCCTACCTGGTTTGCTCGCAGCTAGCATAGCCTTCTCATGTTCACCTACCAGCTTAAAAATGGTAACAATTTCCCGCTTGCCATCGATAGTCCCCTTAAGAAGCGGCTCGCAAAAAAAACTGGGTGTAATTACTGTTTGCTCCCTGAGACACCGCTTCAGTGTAGAGCATTTTGGCGAGTTTGAAACCATAAAAGAGCAGTTCTTTGATTACGCAGGCTGCGTAAAGTGCAGTGGGGCTGCTTGTGACCTCAGGCATCAGCATTTCACCCATGACCATTTTTTCACAGCAGACCTGATGGAGTGGTTACCTAGGTACGTATCTACGTACTGCGTCAGGACACAGTGGTGGTTTGTATCTGAATATTGTGCCCCGTGTCTAAGCCAGATGCTAGACGCATCATGCTTCTTATTTCCGGGAGAGAAAGTACCGTTAGGTCAGAGCAAGGGCCTGAGTCATACCAAATGCCTCTGATGTTTGGTGACAGTGCTGTGACGGCAGTGCGACACAGGCCCGCTGAACGCTGCCGCTCAGGTGCCGGGGGTATCTGACGTCAGTCAGGTCGGGTGAGGGGCGGAGCGAGGAGTTCTGCCTGTGCACTGGAGCTAAAGCTGTCTGTGCGCGCCCACACTCCTTCACAAGTGTAGCTTTGTATCAAAGCCTGAAGCTGGCTAACTCATGCAGTATATTTCCGGTATGAATAAACGAAATGTGTGCTTTGTGATGAGTGCTATTCCCATGACAGAGTTGGTGGAAATATCAATACATCACACCTAAGCATGCATCTATACTAATGACTGATTGTAATGAATTAACAGTCAAAACATGAACGCGAAAAACATTAAATTAAACCGTACAGTTTAAGTGAACTTTTTCCGGAAAATTCACTGGAGCGAAGCGGGTCTTGATTATCCCAGAAAGTGGCAGACTTCCCTAAGTACAGGGCGGGGGCACAGGACATAATTGGTGATGGTCGCATATGACTTACCTGTTTCCCTTTTCGAATATTATCTCCCCCTCCCCTCTATGTAGTTTCCAGTGAGCTAAAATCGCATTTTGACAAGGGTGGAAGTAATACATTTTATCACAAAAAGTACATACAGAAGAGAAAAATTCAAGTTACAAAAGTTGGAACTTATGAGTCAGTAAGAGATGCTCCAGCACACAAAGATATATATTTCAAGTTGGTACTGATGTCATACCAGAAACCTGACAAAAGATTTCAACATCTCAGGCTATTACAGTAAAACGGAGCACATTAAAGAATAGTAATTTCATAACAGTATGCGAAACATAAAACATATGTAACACGAATGTTTTGCTGCATTTTGCATTTCCCTTCCAACTGATTTTTTAACACAAAACAAAACAAAGGAGTTCAACAACAACAATAACAACAAAAAATTCAACAAGCATAAAGCATTCAAACAAAAAAGCCTTGGATTCCTGTATATCAAACACCACAGCTAAACCCCTGGCTTTTGTTATGACAATGTCTGTAAATAAAAATATCATGTCGCTGTTTCTTTCAAAATCCCAATGCTTATCTCCATGAAAGCAGCTTAAGCCCAACCTAAAGAAGCCCTGCCTTATCTCATTTTGTCGAACCTAATTGCATCACGGCAGCATTTGTGAGGCACTGATTCTTGCAACATTCCTACTGTCACTTGTCATGCAATTAACCAACTCAGCCTAACATAGAGTAGCCCATATGCTGAACATCATCTCAGATCACCCCACCTATTTTTTGCCAGCAGCACTTGTGATAAAACATGAAAAAGCTTATTTTTGGCTGGTTTCAACTTGCGCTTTGGTTCAATTTACTTGTGTCAGCTTGTTGACATCAGACAGTTAACAACACACAGGTCAAAACCCTGCAAATCACTTTGAACAACTTATTCTGATTGCCATGGACAGCGTCTGTCAAGGACAATGGCGAATATGCTCCACAAAACAACCTCTCCCATTCAAACATAGCATTACTCATAGATGGCCACAAGACCAGTATTGCTGCTTGCCATTTCAGCTACAACAAAGGCATTCATTAAGGGCTGGTTATTCAAATGTAATGACTTAAAGTTTGAAATGTTGGCTTCACATTTTAAATGGGATGGTCTCTTTGCTAAAAAAACAATATCCACCTCATATTGGAGTTGCTATGCAGCTTAGAGTATTCCTGTGCTAAAAATGTGGCGTATGTCTATAGCACAGTTATTCGCCAGTTAGCAAACTATGGCAACTATGGGCAACATCTTGTTAAGCAGACGTAAGGGACCACTTCAACAAATTGGAGGCCGACAGTTAACTTATGGGACAAAATAGTTTGATCACATGTCTTGCAGCATCATAATTTGCCCTATGAACAAATCTCCATAGATTTGGACAAAAAATGAATAAGCCTGGCTACAAATCATGTGAGGAAAGCAGGAAAGGTTAGCAATTGACTGCTGCCCAGGAGAAACTTGCTAGCTTTTTAAGGGCATGCTTCTGTTTGCCCCCCCCCCCTCTCCACGAAAAGTCCGCATTTTCCGCATAGTTTGCTGACAGACAGGGTTATGCAGCCCACCCAAAAAACATAGATATCAACCATGCCTACCAACCTACAATATCAAAATGCACTTCGCTACCAAACACTTCTGTATTAGCTGCGCCAGGTCTGTCTCAAAGCTATGTCCGGCACGATAATGTAACGTGGTGAGTTAGTGAAACTGGAATGGCTTCGATTTATCATTATGGGGCCCGCCATGAACCAAAATAATGACTATGTGGGGGTTTAACAGGGCAAAAATGGCGGTAAAAGTAAGTTCCGTGGTTCAAATTGTTTCCTTCATTCCCTACAAATTGTTTATTCTTGGGTACATTTCAAACATGCCTGGATGGCTGGCAAATTTATCCGTTTTATGCATGAAATATAGGCAACTTTGGAGTTGAAAAATTTTGCAGAGAAATCGGCTAACATTTTAAGTCATAGATGGTGCCTTTAAAGATAATCTGAAAGGAAGTAAAAATAAAGTTGTATCACATTCGTATGAGACCAAGAAAAACAAACGTAATGAAATAGGCATACAGACTTATAATTGTTTGGTCAAACTTTGTTATTAACTAACTTGACTAAAAATAGGTGAAACATAGTGCTCAAATTGTGATATTCAGCTTTAAGATGCCATTTAGAAGGTACTTCTCGAATTTTTCACTCCCACATTTCAGGAGCGGTGCAATTTAGTGGTCAAGTTTCTTCAAACTCACGAAATACGTGGGTGAGACTCTCTGCCAGACTTTGCTAGTGTTTGTATCAGGCTTTGCCTTGCTGTGGGGTTTGCGTGATGTGACCCCCCAAAAATGGGGATGCGTGAAAACTTTGCATTCGACGCACAGCTTAAGGTCGTGATGCACTTCGCAAACAAACCAGACATATTATATGCAAGCGGCTGGAGTTGCTGAGTCTCTCGGGCTTGAGGGAGCCTGGTGCCCTTGCTCTGTGCATATATAGGCATGATTTAGATGTAGGTGAGGCAGGATATAGCCATTGGTGTCCAGCTTCTGTTTAGCCTTGTTTATGCTTGATGGTTTCAAGTGAGCTCGGTTTGGATGGACACCTTAAAACCTCTTACGGGGAATACGGGCTTGGTATGCGTGGTCAGACAAAATCGTTTTGGAGTGAAATATTCACATCAAATATGGGGAAAAGGAATGGAAAATTTCATCTCATAGGGTGTTGTTTTACGTCCAAAGTCGGCAATTCTAGGACATTGGTGGTTTCTTATCGGTGTTTGCGAGCCGGGAGGTCAAAAGCGCCCCTAATTATAATTGGTGGCCGTTTCTTTCCACTCCTGGCTCCCCGTTTGCTGTCAGCTAATCCATGCGCGTTACGACGGACGTGAGGCGATAATGCACTGTCTGCTGGGTCTGCTAGACGGCAACAGCTCCTCCCCCCCCCCCTCCCACCGAGGTCAACCTACGCTGGATTCATTTGGCGCCAACGACAGGGCTTGGCTCTGCAAATGACGGTCCATAAGGCGACATGTCCGCGTGATAGACCATGATACATCTGTCCAGTCATCGACATGTTTTAGTGAAGTTCGCTGAGCGCTTGTCGCTGCATCGTTTCGTCGAAGCGATTTATCATCAGCCGTTGACCCGACGGACGTAAGCGAGCCAATAACGTGCAGCGCGAGACTAGGACTGCCGACCGGGACGCTCCGCAGTCAGCGGCGAATTGCGAAGCCATCAACGGCGCTGATGGCCAATGGAACCTGTGCACCAGC